CTCTAACCTCCCTAGTTTCATCATTTTCTAAAAAGTGTTGAATTTGGAGCAAGTGACTTAACTCTCACTGCTTCACTGCACGACTGACAAAGAAAACAGCTGTACCTCTCTTATGCATGCAATATATAATATGTGTGCCCACGGCAATCTCTCTCACACAGAATATTTTTTTGAGATAGGGTCTCACTATGTTGCACAGGCTGGTCTTGAACTCATGGATTCAAGTGAACCTTGTGACTCAAACCTCCCGAGCTACAGTATGGGCCAACATACCTGGCTCGTGACACATAATTTAATGAAATTATGTTTCCTTATTAGCTGAAAACCTTCATCGGATATTATGAGGCATGTCCCAACTGCTGAATGCTGAAGTTGTTTCTAGTATTTTCCTATTACAAACAATGCACTGAAGCCAAAGTGATCTTGAACAAAAAGAACAAAACCAGAGGCATCACACTACCTGACTTCAAAACCTACGACAAAGCCACAGTAGTCAAAGCAACATTTGATACTGATGTAAAAACGGATACACAGATGAGTGGAATGGAATACAGAGACCAGAAATAAATCCATTCATTTATGCTCAATTCACTTTTTTTTTCGGTACTGGGGTTTGAACTTGCTAGGCAAGTACTCTACCACTTGGGCCACAAATCCAACTCTTTTTTTTCTGCTTTAGTTATTTTAGTCCTTTTTGCCCAGGCTGACTATAGACTGCAATCTTTCTACTAACATATGCTTTCTGCGTAGCTGGGATTACAGAGATGAACTGCCACCCTGGTTTGTTTAATGAGATGGAGTCTTGCTAACTTTTAGCCTGGGTTGGCCTCAAACCATGATCCCCCTGATTCCTGTCTCTTAAGTAGCTGGGGTTACAATTAAGTAGCAGGTGAGCCACCTGCACCTGTTCTCAGCTGATTTGTGGCAAAAATGACAAGAATACATATGAGGAAAGGACAAGCTCTTCAATAAATGGTACTGGAAAAACAAGAGATTTACATATGAAAGAATGAGTTATATCCTTATCTCACACCAGATGCAAAAATCAACTCAATACGGGTTAAAGTCTTAAACTTAACACCTACATCTATAAAACTACTGGAAGAAAACACAAGGGAACGGCTCAATGACACTGGTCTGGGCAATCACTTTGGATACAACTCTGAGAGTACAGGCAAGAAAAGCAAAAGTAGACAACTGGGATTCCATCAACATAGAGCTTCTGGGCAGCAAAAGAAATGACCAATGGAGTGAGAGGCAACCTGTGGCATGGGAGGAATATTTGCAAACTGCAGAGCTGAGAGGCATCAAGATCTAAAACATATAAGGAACTCAACTCAGTAGTACGGAAACTAACAGCTCATTAAAAAAACAGGCAAAGGCTGGCGGAGTGGCTCAAGTGGCAGAGTGCCTATCTACCAAGTGTGAGGCACTGAGTTCAAACCCCAGTGCCATCAGAAGAAAAGAAAAAAAAAGGCAAAGGATCTTAATAGACATTTCTCAAAAGAAGAAATACAACAATCAATGAGCACATAAAAAAATGCTCACATCACTAGTCATGAGATTCATGCAAATTAAAAACCACAATGTGATACCAGCTCATACCTGTCAGAATAGCTACTAAAACAGATGAAAGATACCAAGGCTGGCAGCCACTTGGAGAAAGGGAACTGTGGTAGGATTAAAAATTAAAATTAGTATAGTCACTGTGGAAAACCATATGTAGGTTCCTCAAAAAGGGAAAACAGGACTGCCACAAGAGCCTACAATTCTATTACTGGATATATCCAAAGAAAATAAAATCAGTATGTCAAAGAGACACCTGCACTCCCGTGTTCACTCACCATTATTCACATTATGGACAAAAGGGATAAAGATTTGGGTAAGCTGGGCTCTGGTGGCTCACACCTGTAATCCTAGTTACTTGGGAGGCTGAGATGGGAGGGTGGTGGCTCAAGGTCAGCCCAGGCAAATAGTTCACAAGATCCCTTCTCCAAAATAACCAGAGCAAAATGGACTGGAGATGTGGCTCAAGTGGTGCCTGCTTTACAAATGCAAAACCCTGCGTTCAAACCCCAGGAAAAAAATAAATAAATAAAACATAAAAAAATGTAAAACATATGCAATAGAATATTATTAAGCCTTAAGAAAAGAAGGAAATCCTGTCATTTGTGGGAACGCAGATGAACCTGGAGAACATTAAGTGAAATAACCCAGGTGCAGAAAGCAATTAGCACATGATCTCTCTTTTATGTGAAATCTAAAAAAGTCAAACTTGTGGAAGCAGAAAGTAGAATGGAAGTGACCAGGGACTGGGGGTGGAAGACTGGGAGATGTCAAAAAAAATAATGCACTCAAAATTAAATATCTTTGTGAATAACATTTTATTTCACTCTTTAGACTGTTCCTGTAGGCTAAACTATCAGAAATAGAATCCACAGATCCAAGAGTATAAACATTTTATGAATCTTGATGGCTGATCAAATTATTCACAAAATATTAGTGTGTACAATGCTACTGCAAATGTATGAGAATGCCAATTTAACTATATACTTGCAAGCAATATATAATTATGAAAAATTAGGGGGAGAACTTACGGATTCATAAGCCTACATAGAAAACTTAATAAATTAATATTTGAAATTTGCCTTATCATTTTCTTTTTACCAAGAACAAACAGCGTCCCCAAATTCCCACTTTGGGGAATTCCTAATTATTGTCATCTGCACGTGGGGGTCTGGGCTGGCCACTGGAAAACCCCAGGATATTTGTGTTTGCTGTGGGGGAGGAAGGTATCATCACCCAGGTGAATCCACTGGCTTTTGTGCAGCACTTCACAGTGTTACAAGTGTTTCCTGAGTTCTCTCACTTGACCCTCCTAGGGTTTTCATTTTCATGACGAGGACTATAAGGCTCAAAGGAATTATAGAACAATCTCAAGCCATTACATGGAGGGAAATAAAGGTAGAAAAGAACTCAGGTCCTGAAGGCAATGAATGCTGCTTCCATCTCTGCAAGCCAGAGCCAGGGCATATGGTATAAGACCACACGTGACAGATGGATCAAGTCAGCCTGGCCTACATGAACCCTGTCTCTACCACTTAGAATGCAAGTGACCCCCCCCACGAGTCACCCCCTTCTTTGTGTCTCAGAGATGTTGATGTGAGCACAGGGCTGGACGTGAGGGTAGGTGCATTTCCACAGGGGCCTTTGCAATGAAAGCATGCTTTGCAGACAGCTGCGAGTGATCTGACAACCCACCTGAATTCACTTCTAAACTCTTCAGGGGCGGCTGTGACAAGAGAGCAACACATACTCATCAGCATCTCATTTGAGAAGCTGCGGCCTGTAGGACTGGGTAGCTAAGAAGTCATCCTCTCTGCTGTCATTTCTCACAGCAACTCCATTTTTTGTCCGTTTTAGCTTGCTTTACAACAGTGAATGAGGATGGTCACCGAGGACTTCTTACAGATGGATGCACAGTGAACATATGTCACACATGCTGTGGAGTCAGATACCTTGTAAGACTGAGACAAGGCAAAATGGAAATTGTGTATCTCTGTCTTAATTTGGTTCTTTTCAGTTGGTTTTCACTACTTCTTTCATTAAAATGAAGCAGGGAGAAATGCCTTCATCCTTTGTTTTGGAGACGGATATTACAATCCATACTTTTGAAACCCCAAAGGCAGTTCCATGTGTTTATTTCTCTGGTGGAGAAATAAAAAAATCACTTCGCAGTAACGACTGCCACCTTGTGGCCAAACATCAAACTTTTACCAGGGAAAAAAAGGCGCCCATTGCTAAAAAAAGGCTCAATTTTGAGCCCAATTCTACATAGGCAGCAGAGTACCCTGCCCTGGGGGATGAGGCAAGGTTAGTATACGGCAATCATGAATCTTGAGTAGATAATTACTTTCCAAGCCCCCCTCGTTGCTAAGCATGGTTAACTAGTCTAGGAAAGTTCTCTTCCCGATAGGAGAGTGGCCCCTGCTGTATTTTGCCCTCTGCTCCTGTGCTTTCTGCTCTGGACATAGCCATGTGAAGGTATGATGGTTACAGATGTAGCACATATTTGAGACCCCAAAGGGAAGACAGGTCTGATATCACAAGATGAAGAATCCATCCTCACTGTTACTACCAGACTTCCCACTGTGGGAAATAACAAAAACAAAGCTTGCATGAATGACCTAAACCCATCCCGGGTTTTGTGGTTGTTTGTTTAAACCATGGCTGGTTGGGTATTCCACTGACTGCAGCCCGAAGCATTCCTAATTGCATTTACCATTGCTTTTGCCATCACAGGCAGACAGGTTCTAATTCCAAGTCCATGGTACTGAGGAAAGCATCTTCCTATGCAGCTAGAACAGTACCTTAGGACATAGCCAAGTGCTCTTTCTGGGTCCTTTCACACCCCTCATTATTATTTTTTTATTTTTTGCGGTTCTGGGTTTGAACTCAGGGCCTTCACCTTCAGCCACTTCACCAGCCCTTTTTTTTGATGGGTTTTTTCGAGAAGGGTCTCACGAACTATTTGCCTGGGCTGGTTTTGGATTGCAGTCCTCCTGATCTCCGTCTCCTGAGTAGCTAGGATTACAAGCGCGAGTCTCCAGGGCCCAGTCAGACCACTCTTTTGAACTCTTGTGCCCAGGTCCAAACCAGTCCAGAATTTAAGAGCACAGCAATTGTCAAATTCACCAAGATAATTAGCCTATTACAGAAGTCTTAGACTTCTGTAACCTTCACCGGACCTTTTCAATTTCAGGGTATGCAACACTAGAGGTGACCCTTGCACAGGGCAGCATGAAGGAAGGAGTGAATTGATTAGTTTTTATATTTTGTCCCAGAGGTCATCAGAAGTTACTGTGACCTTCATTTGGCCTACCATAAGAGCTCATTCCAAAATATTTTCTGGTACCTGACTTTCTGAAATCTTCCACATCTTATTATCTGAACTCTTTAAGACCGGAGCTGCAGAGGCAGTGAACGCGAGTCATACTTACAGGGGTCTGGAAGCAGCAGAACAACTGGGTGAGGAAGGGGTGGTTGCGGGCTAAAGACAGGATCCTTTTCTCGGTCATTGTGCACTCCACATCATCATCCTGCAGGATCACGTCCTTCTTCAGGACCTTCACAGCATAGAGGTCTCCTGTTTCTTTTATCCTGGCAAGCATCACCTAAGCCAAAGCAGGAAAGAGGATGAGGGATGTCTCTCGGGGTTCTTCAGATATGGGCACACATGAGAAATGTGGGTGTGTACATACACACACACAAACACACAGACACACACGCTCACGCAAACAACATACACATAATGCTTACTTCAACCCAGAGAGTCAAAGCCAAGACTCACCTTCCCAAAAACTGCCCTTTCCCAACACTCGGATGAATTCAAAGTTGTGGATGCCAAATTGGTTGGAAGAATTAATCCCAACCCCATTTCCTTCCTTGGTGCCCTCCTTTCCCTGTCGTCTTAGGGTTGATCTGGAAACAAGTTTCTGCAAAGAAGAGGATATTGGTCAGAAACTGCAGTGTGAACAGGAAGCCCAAATGGATGGAAAGCTCTTCCTGCTAGCAGCAGTCTCAAGCCTCCATCTAGTATGTGAGGAAAGATCAGTTCAGCTGAGCGGATTATCAGCTTCTGAAACTCAAAACTACTTCAGTGCCAGGCATGGTGGCACTGAATGCTTGCAATCCCAGCATTCAGGAGGTTGAGGCAGCAGGAGGATCTTGAGTGTGAGGCCAGCCTGCGCTACATAGAAAGACCTTCCCTCGAAAAACTGAGGCCTGAGCACTGTCTGGCTTACCATATGCAAGGCCTTAGGGTCAATCTCCAGCATCATAAAACAAATAACAACAAAAAACCACACACCACCTCCATGTCAGTTTCTGGTCAGTGCTTACTTCTATGTGGAACAAGCCATTGCAAAATACATCTAAACCAGGCAATTACAGTTTGTGTGCAAATGGAAGAGCTTGGAAGTGTGAATGCCTGAGGCTGGTCCCTTGGCCTTCATTTGTGTGGCATGGGACTCTAGGAGCGCCACCTAGTGTCCACTTCACGCAAAGAGCAATTTTCATGTCTGCTCATAGAACCAAGTGCCTATGCAGCATCACCACACAAATGAAGCAACTTTTTTATAAAAAATTTTAAATTATATAGAGAAATAAAAATTCAATTTAATAACTGAAACAATGACCAGAATTATGAAGGATAAAAATTTAAATACCTAAAATCTCCCTTACCCCCCTTTCAAAATATACCTATTAAAACAATACAGGTGCATTTACACTTAATTTTTAAAAATATAATTAAAACTATTTTTTATAACACATTTTTATTTAAAAATTGGTCATGTGTATCCACTCTTCAAAAGAGCTTTTGATAACAGGCGAGTCTGAGAATGGAACAGAGGGCCTCACACGTTAGGCAAGTGCCCTACCTCTAAGCTATTACCCCACCCCAGCCTGAGAACATGAGTTTTAATAGCTGTTCAGTATTTCATTTTATGCATATAACATCATTTATTTGCAAATTCCCTGGCTATTGTTATACTTTTCATTGTAACAACCATGCCCAAGTGAACACACCAGCATGTGAATCGCTATGAAGCAGCTGCTTGGGTTCAAATAATTGCTCTGCAACTTAGCCTGTGCCCTTGAGCAAACTACCTTACCCAGCCTCAGTTTCCTCTCCTGACAAAGGGGAGGTTGCAGCATCTGCCATGAGTTATTATGGGGGATAAATGAACAAGTGTACATAAAGCAGTTAGACTGGTGCCCAACATAGACAATAAACGTAAGCTGTGATGTCATTATCACTATCTACTTTCTTAAGACAGCTTTTTGGAAATAGAATTCCTTGGGCCAAAGTGTTCACTTGGAAGACTTTTGATACATAGTCAACTTGCCCTTTACAAAGATGGGCTCCCTCCCACCAGCATAATGAGAGCTCCGGTTTCACCACCTTGAACTGGAGGTAAATGTTGCAGCTCTGGTTGGTTCTCAGGTCCCACATGCCAGCTTCACAGTGAGGACACTACTCAAAGGCAGGGTGACTTTTGTAGATACCCAGCTCAGAACATTAATAAAGCAAACTACCACTAGATAATAGATCAAAAGTCTAACATCCTGGAGTTTTTGACCTATTTAGCTGAAAATACAATTTACAAAAGTTTATCTGGGACAACTTCTATGCAATGTTAGAAATAAACCAACTGTGCACCAGCCTGGAACTTCAAGGATTTTTCTTAACACTGTAAAACAGGGATAGCAGGATATAAAATGGATTATCTTTAAAAAAATCTGGTGGTTTTAATAGTTCCTTCTCTAAATCCCTCTTCTAAATTTTTCAAAGATAGAGAAGTGGTACCAGCTTAAATGCTACTTCCTCCATTTACATACTTCTCCTGGTTAGACTAAAAAAAACTCTAAGCCAGTGTTTTGCAACCTTTTTTTTTTTTTCAGCCCATTCTTTTCTTTTGTTAAGACTTACAGTTCTCCCTTTTCAATGCTGGACTGTGAAATAATAGGTGATTTTGGGGTTTGCACTATTAAATATCATAACATTAAAGATATTTTGGTTTAGGCCAGGCACCAGTGGCTCACCACACCTGTAATTCTAGCTACTCAGGGGGCAGAGATCAGGAGGATCCTGGTTCATAGCCAGCCTGGGTAATCTTGAAAAAAACCCATCACAAAAAAGGGCTGGTGAGTGGCTCAAGGTGTAGGCCCTGAGTTCAAACCCTAGTACCGGGAAAAAAATTAAACAAAAAAATAATACAAACTTGGTCCAAATGACAAGGGCACCACCATTCCTAGCAATTTGTCATGTGGTCTACCTTAGTCCCACTGTATTTTTGAAGCCCTGGCTCAGGCTGAAATCCTTCATCTCCTCTTTTTGGCAGTAGCTATCCTAGAGATTAGAAATCCCCTAACCATTTTAGCATCCTACCTGCCTACCCACAACTTTTCCGTGCCCTCCTGAAATCAAGAAACATACTGTCAATACAAATCCCTCATCTGGGCCAGGAGTCTTTCAGGAAAGAGCAAGTGAGATGGTTAGTGCGGACACTTTCTAAGTTACCAAGAATCTCACAGTGATTATGCTTTCCTCTCTAAGTACCTAGAGATCATTTACCAGTTAAGTCTAGAACTTTTCTGAGCAGACATCAAACCCCACCTTACAGACCTTATAGCCAGACAGTCAAGCCTATCTCCTCCCTCCCTGCAGATGCTGGCCAGGAAGACAGCAGTGACAATTGGCCTGGGAAGTGGCTGAGGTTCTAACGGACACCACCAGGTGGAGGCCAGTCAGGGAGGCTGCATGACCAAACATGTCCAGGGCAAGTGACCCAGCCCCCCGCCCCCCACTCCTGAGAGCCCACGGGAAGGAATTCCTGCCAGTTACTAAATGAGAAAGATAAATTCATAATCCATAAATTAAAAAACTGCAGAACTGCTGGATTCCAGGGAAGTAGAAAACCATAGCTATCTCCAAGTTCAACTCGGTTTGGGACGAGGAAGCTGAGGCCCGTGGTTATGATCCACTGCCCTGCCCGGTTAGACAGCTCCTAACTCAGGCCTCTGGGTTTCAAGCTTTTCACCAGACCTTATCGACAGGAAGCTGGTTTTTGTTTGTTTGTTTAAAGAAAGGAAAAAAGTCTTTCTTCTGCTTGCTGATATATCTGCATGCTCATTATTTCTTGTCATATAACTGAAGACAGATTTCTTTTGTGACCTGAAATGATTTTTTTTTTAAATGCAATAAATCTGCGGAGTGTATTTGTTGCGATTGGAAACTCTGACAATGCCTCATGTTCTCATTTGGAGTCACCACGTCGGAACAACTTTTAAATTACAATACATGAAGAAAAAGGAAGTCTCACCGAGGTTGGTGAAATATTTCCGGGCTGGAGACCCATCCCTGCCAGGGTCTTGGCCAGCTCCACCGCGTTCACCCCACAGTTGGGAGCGACGTTGGCTTGACATCGAATGTGTACATTCATTTTACATACTGGGAGAAGAGGAAGATAGAATCATTATTCAGAAAAGAACCAGTCACCATATGCTACAACTGAGAACTTTAGTAACCTAAAAGATCATGACAGGAGTTACACAGGCTGAACAATGTCATCTCAGAAAATTAAACTCACACTTAAAGAAATTCCTGACATTTTATCTATTTCTGTTTTGCGCAAAAGCAGAAATCCTGGCATACCAAAGAACAATAGATCTCAAATACATTTTTTTTTTCACCATGACTTGAAACACGTTCATCTAAATCATATGCAACAGTCATTGCTGACTGAACATCATAAGCCAATATAAAGATTAAAACGGTCATCATAGTGACAATTCACAGTCAATTAAATAACAAGAATCATGCCAACTGGCTATTCTTTTCCTTCTTTCTCTCAACAAGAAAATAAAAGGCCGTCGTCCAATGCTATACATAGATCACTGCTGAAACAGGATGGAAATGGTGTTTCTGAGAGCTGAGAGCTCTACAGAGGTTTCCTTCTGAGTACTGTTGTGGCAGGGTAGCCCTCCTAGCACAGAGACATACATCCTGTGGGGCTGTGGCTCTCCGTGTTTGCAGCCTGTGGTTCTAACTATGTTACAGGGGAAGAAAAAAGCAACCTTTAAAGAGTTTGAGGTTAGGGTAAATGGCAGTTAGAAGAAGCAAGCAAAGTCCCTTGAGCTCAGGAGCTGCCTCAGGACACTGAATCTCCAAGGTTTAATCAGCAGAAATATATTCCAATATAGTTTCTTGAAGAAGGCCCTGTTGATGAGAGATAGAAGTAGCCTGCAACACTTTTCTGATTTATGGAGTCTGTCCATTTTTGGAAGCACACAGGGCTGAATTTATGTCAATCAGGAAACTCTTTTTAAGAAACAGAACAACCAATCCAGAAGAAAGATACTTTGAAGCTTAAGCTCCATGAGCTTAATGGGAAATTGGCTTTTCAAGAAGACTGCTATAGAGCAACACAAGCCTACAATGGCCTTTCAAAACCACCAAGTGACAATGAAAGCAAAAGTTATAGAAGGTGGATCACTACAGGTAGGCTACCTCAGGCTACCAGGAACAAAAGCAATGCAGATGAGTCCTATGCAAGGCCCTCCATTCAAAAACAGAAAGTGACTTTCAGGCAGGGTCCACACCCTGTTGAGACCATCAAGCTGAAATCAAGGAGCACAGGAACCAAAAGCCCTAAAAGCTGGATCTGAGCTGGCTGCTCTTTGGTTGTATGAATAAATAACAGTTATTAATGGTATTCTAGAGCCACAGAAGAATTTGCTCTTCTTAAAGAGAAGAGATTTGTCCCCTTTTGTTGACAGAAGCAGGCTGGATAACTTCAGGCCATCAGCAGAAGTTGTCTGGCTGCACCCATGCCAACTCTATCTCCTCCATCATTCCCCGGGACCAACGACTCAGGCACACCCCATGACAGCCAGATCACAGCATCCCAATGGGAGATTACTCAAAACCGTCAGTTCCCCTACTCCTAAGGACAGGGCCCAGCCCTCTCCCAACCCTCATCCCGCCGCAGCCTTTGCAAAAGCAAAAGTTCCAAAGGGCTCTGGCCCACAGCCAAAGAAAGCTGCAGTGCTCCAGCCACCTCCAGTCTCCATCAAAGTTCTCATGCAGAGGACCCAGGACAGCTCTTGCTATACTGACAACTGAATTTCTGCTCATCTTTGGTGAGGGCGTCAGACCTACTCTCTTGCCAGTTCTTACTCATAACCTAACCTCCGCCTTTAGCCATCTCACCTCCCATCTGCCATCTCTGACCAAGATCCTATTTTTCCACTCTCAAAAAACTATTTAAAGTACAATGCCCAGTCTACTCAGCAATGAGTCTACTCGTATGACAGCTAGCTAGCTAGATCCCCGAACTTAACGTCTGACTAAATGTTCTATGATTAATTTGGGGATCAGATGTAGTTCTCTTTACATGACAAGGGATACATAAGTATAAAATGATTAAGATATTGATATATAAATATCTAAAACCATCAGTCCCAGGTCAGATTCTGAGCCTGTAGAATCCCAGAAGCTTGTGGTAAGGTGTCCCCATGAAATAGTGGGAACCCAGTCCTTTGGCATCTCACTTTTACACTGAAGTCCTTGTCGCATTATTCCCCAGAGCAGGGAGCCACAGTGATCACAGAACGTTGGCACTTTGTAATTGTGGATGCTGAATTTGTGTGGGATGTTGATGCCAAACCTCTGTTCAGCAACCTAGGGTGGAAAAGAGGACGAGAGGTAAAATTTCATACTGACACCTTTTGTAAAAGCTGTAATAGGAGCCCATCAAATGCAAAGTGTACTGTGACCCCAGGGTTGGGTATACCATTTCGCTCAGCTTCAGCTAATTACTCAGGTCTCACAGTCTGAGCGTGTCTTCTTTTTCTTTTGTAATTTTTAATTGGTTTTCATCATAACATTTCATACATGTTTATAAGGCACTTTGTTCATATTCATCCCCCATCACCCTCCTCCCTTCTCCCACTGACCCCTTCCTCTTCCCAAATGGTCCCCTCTACTTTCATGTTCTGTTTTTAAAAATCTAGATTCTGCATATAAGAGAAATCATCAATATTTATATTTCTGAGTCTGGCTTATTTCACTCAACATGATGATTTCCAATTTTATCCATTTTCCTGCAAATGATATAATTTTGTTCTTTATGGCTGAATAAAATTCCACTGTGTGTACACACACACACACACACACACACACACATATACACATATATATGTATATAGCACATTTTCTTTATCCGTTCATCTGTTGATAGACACCTAGGCTGATTCTATAGTTTGGCTATTGTGCATAGTGTTGCAATGAACATAGGTGTGCTGTTATCACTATTATATATGACTTTGAGTCCTTTGGGTATATACCCAGGAGTGGTATAGATGGATCATTTGGTAATTTTATTTTTAGTTTTTTGAGGAACCTCCATACTGATTTCCATAGTGTCTGCACTAATTTACATTCCCATCAACAGCATATAAAGATTCCTTTTCCCTCCCATCCTCTCCAGTAATTGCTTTCTTGATGATAGCCATTCTACATGGGGTGAGATAGAATATTTACTTTTAAAAAATGCTAGGGATCAAACCAGGGCCTTGCACATGCCAGATAAATGTTCTACTGAGCTACATCCCCAACACATTTGCAGCATGTTTTCTGATAAGTAGAACATGACAGAAATGTGGGGTGCACATTATACCATTCACCCTTTGGAGAGATACGCAGAAATTAAGATTTTCAATCCCCTCACACCTATGTCTGTTTCCTGGAGCCTCTGACTTCAGGATTAAATGTGCATTTATATACTGTATATATGTGATTACCACAAATTCGTCTAAAAATTGTGTCACAGGGGAAACTAAAAAAGGCACTAAGAAGACATGGACTCACAAAAGGAAGTCATTCCAAAGTGTCATTAGAGTGGCCATCTTAGCCCTTGTGGCATTTGTATTCTGAGGACCTGAGCACAAAGGTCCAATTTTAATTTTACATACTGCTTCCACAAATAATTATACTTGCCATATGCTCTGTGATCTACCTCACAGTTCGCAGCAGTAACAACAGATCCATTCACGTCAAGGAGGAGGGCAAAGTCTCCTTTGGAGACTTTTCTGGTATCTTTCTTGTGTATCTCTCTATATTCAACTCTTTAGCAATCCTGCATGTATTCTGCCAACAACCATCAAGTTCCAGAATCAGACTTTTCAAAGTATCTGCAAATCTACTAAATGTCAGCAATTCTCCATCTATCTAAGCTCTCCCTCCAGAATTTAAAATGTGTGTCCATCCCAGCCAAAAGCAACGTGAGTGGCAAGAATGAACTTACAGCTTTTCCACAGATCTACATCCTGCCTGAAATTTCTCAGATGCTGGAGGAGGCCAAGAGACTTACTTAGGAAGCATAATTTATAGCTTACATATGTCACTTCTATTTAATTTAACCCCCACAAATATGCATGAGGCAGGTACTGATGCTGTGTTTAGAATGAGGCACAGAGAGGATGTGGTCCCAGCTTGAGTTCACAGAGATGATCTCTACTGGAGGCTATATTCAGCATTCTAGTCTAGGTGGTTGCGTGCCAAGGTCAGGTCTCTTTTATTCCATAGAGTGCTCTGCCTTAGTAGAACTGAATGATCCATAGAGCCAATGCTCAGATGACCACTGATGAGATCCTCATAAGGTGAGGTCATGCTACACAAGAAGAGGAATACAAAATGCCTCAATGCAAAAAAGGATAGGAATTGCAATTCTAAATACCACTCTGGGCTCCAAGGATTGTGGGAGGAAATGGGGAGGGAGAAACTAAAGCAGTGAGGGAGGGGGAAAAGGGGAGGGAGAGAGAAAGAGAGAGTTCGCACACTTACAGCACATGTGCTTAATCAACAGACTAGCAGCCTCTTACCTTTGAGTCCACTTTGTTAATGTTATTTTGGCAGGTGCAGGCTGTAACAATTAGATGATGGCAGCGTTTATGGACCACACAGGTGCACACTAGGAAATTAAATCCAGCAATTACACATTTATCAGAGACTCACAGTCCAGTCAGGTGCAGCAGTCATGAAGGCTGTGCCATGCCAATGTCATCTGACTTGGATGTCTGGTTGGCAGCCAGCATTCCCATCCTTCCTACTTCCTAACAAAGATCTCTGTTCATGTTCAAGCAGCCTGTTGCCCAGTCCTGAGTTTATTTCTTCCTGACTGTATTCCATCTGGCACCCTTTATGGATTCTTTCCATATTGTGATTCTGGTCACTTATGTCTCATGATTGAAAATTTTCAACAGTATCTCATTGCTACTCAAGAGGGTTCAAATTTTCCAGCCAGGCTCTCCAGAGGCTACCCCAAACTATCTTTCTTCTATGGGACCTTTTGTTCCAATAAAAACTTAATTAGATGATCTTTCTAGAACAAATCTTCACCCTTTCCTAGGCATTATCAATACTCTTCTCTATTCCTGGGACAGCACACTTGCCTAGTGACCAACTATAACTTAAGTTATGATAAGATACAACTCAAAAAATATATATATCTTCCCTAAAAGTATTCTATACCTGTCCCTTTGGTTGACTGAAACCACCCTCTGATCTCCCACACCCCTTAGCCTGCCCTCCCTTTTCAAACCTCCCATATGTGGCCAAATTATACACCAAATTCCAGAATAATGCCTTGTGCAGCACAGGCATTCAATAAGTTTGCTGAATGACTTATCAATTGTCTGAATATTTTGAACTTTCTGAGTAATATTTTTTTCTCATTTTCATCCAGGTAACTAACACAGTTCAGATGGAATCAGACTTGACATTAAAGGATGAAAACATACAATGAAGCAGTATAAAAATGTACATCATTTTAAGATCTTTTAAGACATGTAGAAGTTTTAGGATTAAGCACATAAAGACAAGTGACATGTCAGCAAATAGCATTGTACCTTAAAACTAATCTAGCTTTCATCAGATTGAATTCTCAGGACAATCACATTGAATGAGCCTGGAGAACTGACCTTTTAATATTGAGATAATCTCAAACCTATCTTTCACACTTATTTTTTTGAGGCATTTGGTTTTTCTTGATTAGCTTGGCTAGAGATTTATCAATTTTATTGATCTTTTCAAAGAACTAATTGCTTGGTTTTATGGATTTTCTCTATCATTTTCCTTTTTTCAACTTCACTGATTTCTGCTCTAATTTTATTAATTTCTTTTCTTCTGCTCATGTTAGGCTTAAATTTCCCTTTCTCTAGCTTCCCAAGGTAGAAATTTACATTATTGATTTTAATACATTTTCTTTTATGGCATTTAGTGCTGCTACACATTTTCATTTGAGCACCGATTTTGCTGCATCCCACATTTTCTGATGAATTATTTCATTTTTGTTTGATTCAAGCTATTTTTTTTATGTTCTATTGAGTCTTAACTCATGTGTTAATTGAGTGTATTGTTTAGTCTCCAAATGTTGAAAGTTTTAGAGTATCTGTTACTGATTTCTAGTTTAATTCCATTGTGGTCTGAGAAGGTATATTTTATTATTTCTCTTCTTTTATATTTGGTAAGTGGTTTTATGATCCAGAATGTGGGCTCTGTTGGTAAATGTTCCTCGTGAGCTTGAGAAGAACGTGTAATCTGCTGTTGTTGGAGGTATATTCCATAAATGTCAATTTGCTCACGTTGTGATAATGTGGTTTAGTCCAACTATATCCCTACTGATTTTCTGCCTGCTGAATCTAGAAATTACTAATATATTGAAGTCTCCAGCTATAACTGTGGACTTGTCTATTTCTCCTTATAGTTCTATCAACTTTTGTCACATGTATTTTGATGCCTATTTTTAGGTACATATGTGTTAAGCACTGTTAAGTCTTTTTGTAGGACCAACCCTGTTATTACTATACAATGTCCTTCTTTATTTTTGATAATTTTCCTTTCTCAGAAATTGGCTTGGTCTGAAATATCTACCGCTCTTTGCTTTTGATTTTATATCACTGAGCAAGATGTAAAAGAGAAGTCTCCTCATGTTTCCTGATTAATGTCATTTCCTACTCTTTAAATCAACCATAAAATACCCTGATACTAACAAGCCAAAGAGGAAAAGAAATAAAGTACCAATAGAGATAATTTCTAAATCAAATACTTTAATCCCAAAACTATAATTTGGTCTATCCTGGGCTTCTTAACCTATCTTGGAATGTATAAGATGGGTGTCATTATGGGGCTTTTCCCCGTGCTGGAGATAAAGGGGCTACAGAGTGCTAGCCACCTGGCTTGTGAACTATCTTCTCATTTAGGACTGGATTAGTCACATTGGTCAGTTAGCAATGCTATATTGATTACATACTCAATTTTTCTAGTTTTGACAATTTAGTGGAAATTTGCACATATTACAACCAAGAGTCTATCTTACCAAGTTCTTCTAAGGAAAATAATGTTTTACCTCACCTTCTCCAGAATAACAGACAGACTTTCCTTATTTACACAGAGACTACCTCTCTAGGATACACGGTGTGCTCTTATTAATTATCAATAGGGTGAAAATCAAAAAGACAAGTGTTACATGTATAAACCATGTGATTGCTCAAGCCAATGGGAAGAGAGACCCAAAGAAGGGGCCAGGCAGATCTGCCCAAGATATACCACGTGTGTAAAGGGTCTCCTTTCAATGTTTCCATTTTACAAATGTATTTTGCCGTAGAGTTATGAAAACCAAATTAAAGTTAGTATGCAATGACTTAGAATATCATTAACAGCTTAACTTTGAACACGTCTCTCGTTTTTTTGAAATCGGAACGTTGAGACAAAACCAGTTTGGATAACGGCTTCTACTCTGCAAGCAGATAAGGACGGCGTCATGCTATTCTCATTCCTACTGGCAACGCTATGTGAAAATCAGAAACTTTTCTTCATGGTTCAAGGTGTGTTTCCCAAATGACACTACCATTTTAGCACTTTCACGTTACCGCAGAGACCAAGTTTACACAGAGAAACTTTTCTGGGTATCCTGGCTTTAGAATAAAAACGCCCTCTCGAAAATATAACCAAGATCTAACTAAAACTAAAGAGTTACAGCTACGTGGGAGTTTCCTTTGACCCTACAGAGTTATTTATCACGGTTTTAAGGGAATGCATCCTGCTTTCTCTTATATAATAATTTTAACACAGGAACAAAATTAAACACAGTTGTAAACATGTTTTTCTTACCTTGGCATTGATAACCCTGTTTCCCAAATACGCCCCTGTTCAGGACAATAGAGAAAAAAAATTACTGTCAGTCAAATATTTCAGCAATCATCTTCTATAACTAAAAAATAAGTTTCATTCTCACGCCACTTATAAAAAACACAATTTGGGGGAAGAAGTGCTTTGTGAATCCTTGTTTGGTACCATGAGACACAGGAAAATCATCCGACGGACTAGAATTTTCTAGGTGATATAAGCTCCAGGTGGGTAGTGATGATCCCCATTCCACCCACCTCTATCACAAACTCCTAGGTCCTCACTGTGTACGTGACGGAACCTCAGCTGAAGACTTCATCCACCACATTATTGCCTCTCACAAACACACAAAGTTATACCAGGCAGAAACCACAGCTGTCTGGCCCCAGCACTCCCCCTCTAACTTGTGCCCACGTCAGCCCTGGAGTCCACAGAGGGGCAGAAGTGCTACCATTATTCACCCTTCCTGTTCCATGGCTTCAATTTCTGTCTGTCCCTAATGTATTCTATGGGGGATGGTGATGACATTCTCATCCTCACTAACAAAGACCACATTTTACTACACCCATGGTAAAGACATCCTTAGTAAAGATTCTTAGATGTGCTTACATCTTTCCTACGTAGCATCTCTCTTAATCCTCCTAAGAACCATGGGAGATGGCGCACAAAATAGAATAGTTAAGAACACAGATGCTGAAGTCTAATGGTGTGATTTGGAGCAAGTCAGTAACTTCTTTGAGCCATAGTTTTCTCACTTGTAAAAGGTAATAAGAACAATGCCTACTTTGAAGAGTTATCACAAAGATAGACTGTGTTGGTAAAATGCTTAGAAATCCCTTTAAGTGTACTATAAGTGCTATTTAAAAATTTATTATATAAAAGAAAAAAAAATTGTATAATGCAAGAGATCAAAAAAAATTTATTATATAAATGAAATCTGTTTTTTCCATTTATAAATGAGGAGACACTGTGGGTTATATAATTTAAGTTCACATACTTGGTGATGAGATGGAATGCCAAGTCTATACACACACACACACACACACACACACACACACACCATACACCAATATTTTAAGTGACAGAGAATGTATGTGAACGACTGAGAGTGTGTGTATGTGCGTGAGTGTGTTATAGAGTGAAAGCTGGTTAAGAAGTTAATGTTCCCATTATGTTAATCGAGGTCAGAGGTCATCATTACAAATGCTTACAGGGGCCAGACATGTCACATGATTAAAAGGAAACAGGACAGTATGAAATACTATCCTGAAATAAAAAGCAGTGGGGGCTGGGGATGTAGCTCAGTGGCACAGCACTTGCGAAGTCAGACTCTGGGTTCCATCCCCAGTGTTGGGTGGGGGAGGGGCAGTGGCAATGGGCAGTTGTCCTCAGGTCAAGCAAACCAGAGAGAAAGGGGTAGGACTATGGTAAAGAGACAGCATGGCCCGAAGATGCCAGAGCTCCTCGTTTTTTCAATAGAAAATGTAACAGGGATTTAAAAAAAAAAAACAAAAAACACTGTAAACATGACAAATTAGTAGGCCTCTATCAATAGCTCACTTAGGAACTCAAGACGGTTCTTGATTTAAAATGCCAGAAACACTAAATCTGGGTTCTTACTGCTAAAAGGTAGAAATCCAAAATAATCACAAAAAACAAAGAACAAAATGGTATTCAAAATTATTCTGAACCAAGTGCTTCTCTCTTCATTAAGCAAAGCGATTAAAGTCTGTAACACAAACACAGATCTCTTTTCACGCTGTTAAGCTGTCTCTCCTTTTGCAACGTGTGTGCAGGCATATGTACAAATGTATGTTTGAAGAGGTATTTGTTCTCTTTCCAAATACAGTACATATGCTTAATGCTGCCTCTAATTAAAGATAACTATTGCTTAAGTTTATCCTATACAATAGGTCTGCCATCATTTGAGTTATTCATTTTCTTTTTTTCCACAAATATTTATTAAGTGCTACTATGTGTCAGGTATCTTTCCAGCACTAGGAAAATACCAGTAATGAGTTATTCATTTTCAACTACTATAAGATATTACCCTTGGAATCTCTAGCATTTCCCAACTTTTAATTATGGTAGATCACTAAAGGCTATTACCTTATACTACATATCTGTAAGGCTGAAGACTACTGGGTACTTAGTTTTCCTGGAACCACTAACTTCCATACTTGTCACATGATTCATGCCTTTTTAAAAGCAATACTGTTAATTTTCCTTACGTGCTGATCGCCTAATTTATTATCTCCTTATTGACTGATTAGCTTCTCTGATTTATGCTTCTTGATCAGTTCATGTTGATTAGCACCTTTACAAAAATGATTGGAAAAAGAAATAATATCTAAAACTGTAAATTATTTAGATATTTTTAGTAATGGGGATTAGAATTATTGGGTCAACATATTATAAGAGGAGGCAAACATCAGATCCCAAAAATAATTCTTAACAATCACGCTTTCCTCTGAAATGATACATAGCCAAAGGAAGGGTAGAGAGAGGCTCTTGGGGCTGAAGGGGAGCCAAGGATCTCTTACCAGATAAACTCTCTGCAGTGGGAGCAGTAGGTGGGCTGCCTCAGGTATGTGGCCATGAACTTGTGCCCATTGATCTGGTGGACTCGTCTTCGCATAGCCCTTTGGCGCTTCCTGGTAAAATGTTTGAAGATTCGGTCTCTCTGGAGAGTGGCTATGTATTAGGAGAAAGGAAAAGAAGAAAAACGTGTAATGAAAAATGTGTAATGAATCTCATACACTGAAGGTATGTGAAAGTTGGATGGTTCAAATAGTCCCCAAATTATTTTTTCTCTCTTCCATATTCAAAACATTTTTGGAAATCATCATTCTTCTAATGACTTTAGGACTCTTACTTTTTAAGGTTAGATCTCTATGAAACCCCGAGAGCTCACTAACCTGGTTATAACTGGCTATCTTGAGTCCCCCCAGGGTTCCACGCTCCAGTGTGGGATGCCGACATGGTCCCCTAGCCTGTGTGTCAGTATGTGGGGCTGTAACTTGGCTGTGGGCTGCAAGCGATGACTGCTGAAGCAGTTTCTCATTGTCTTTCCCGTTCGCTTCTCATGTCCGCATGAACTGGATGAGGGACTGCCCACAGCACAGGCCGTGAGCGCCCAGGCCAAAAGCAATCGACACAGAACCACCTCTGTTAACCTGGGCTAGCACAAAGGAACCTGGGATGGGTGCCAAGTTTTCTAATGGCATATTTTTAAAATATCGGCTCCTAATCTGAAGACTCTGAAAACTGCATACCATCTAAAGACAGTAAATTACATCTTCCATATCATTATACTAGACTTTTTTTCCGATGTATGAAGGGATTTGGGATTAATCAAATCAAGCTTATTTCCTCAGTAACACTTTTAAATAATCACTGACGCAAAGGAAATTCAAGGAACCATGCAAGAATAATTTGCTAATAAATTAAAAAGCCTGGAAGAAATTGGAGATTGCCTTTTTTCCTTTATTTTTTAAAAGTTGACAGATAAGAACTGTACAACTTTATGGAGTACAGTGCAATGCATCAGTATATTTATACACTGTGAAATTATCAATTTAGGATATTTAGATTATTTGTCATCTCAAACATTTATCATTTCTTTGTGATGAGAACAGTCAAAATCCTCTCTTTAGCTATTGTGAATTATCTGATACAATATCATTAACTATGAACACCCTATGTGTTTCAGAACATCAAAACTTATTCCTCCTTTTGGCTGTGACTCTATACTTGATTTCTAAAATAATCTCAAACCCATGTTGAGGAGGAAATTACAGAAAAATAAGAAAACAAAGAGATATAGTGTATTCCTAAGATGAGATAAGAATAACAAAACTCTATGCCATAAAAGATTCATAGATATGCAACTTTAAGAAATTTAAAGTTCTATTTGACAAAAGACACAAAACAGAAAGTTGACAGAAAAAAGCTAAGGGAAGAAGGACTTTGCAGTTACTATTTATAATACATAGAAATCAGTAAAGAAAAATCATGAACAATACAGTAAAAATAGGGCAGAGGATATGAAGAGGCAATTCATGAAACTATAAATACAACTCTCCAATAAACATGCCGAGACATCCAATCCTATCCAGGATGGACATTTAAGAACAGGAGCTGAATCATGTTCTACCTCTTTAATGAACAAATATTAAAAGAATCGCACCCATTTTGACAATGGAAGATAAACTGGGCTCAGCCCTGGACAAGCCCCTTGGGCTGTATTCTCCTTGTTTGCTCCCATCTACAACCAGGTGGCGCTGTCCTCCTGGGATTTTCCAGGTAGTATTAATGAGGAAGTGCTTACCACAAAACAAGACACATTGTAGCAATCAAAAGCTGTAGCCATTTCAAGAATAATTTTTTTAGAGACCAATTTGACAATACCTGTCAAAGTTGTAAATATGCATTTCCTTTCATTCAATAATTAACTTGAAGAATTTTTGTTTCTATAAAAACACCAGTAAGCAGGAATATATATGATACCTAGGTATCACTGCTACATATTTTTCACAGTAAAAAGTACGGTCAGCCCAGCCCAATAGGTATTTGGGAGACTGGGGCAAGAGGAGTGCTTGAGCCTAGGAGTTTTAAAAAAAAAAACAAACCAAAACCCCCCATGAAAGTAAAAGGGAATAGGAAAGGGAGCAGTAGGAGAAAATAAGTGTGGATATTAGGGGATAATTATGGCCAAAGTACCAGCATATGTATATGAAAATGTCATAATGAAACCCACTCTTTTATACAATTAATATATACTCACAAAAAAATAGAAATGGAAGGAGGGTCTACACTAGAAATCCCAAAGAACAAAATGCAGAAACAGTCAAAACTAATTTGGCTAAAGAACCAATGTCTTCAGAGGCTCTAACAGCAAAAATTGTACCTGTTTCACCTTGTGGTTGGGGCATGTGCTGTCTTTGGCAAGCTACCTACTTACTTCTGTTCTCAGGTTTTCCATTTCTCTTGAGGAGATAAAATATACCTGTCCTCAATCCCATGAGAACAGTGCCATAACCAACATTCCTGACAGCTTCCTATAGTTTTGGACAAGGTTCATTCCGTAACAACGGAAGTCAACATTCTGCTTTACCCTTTTTCATGACATTTCCAGAAGTCATTTAGCAACCCCAAAGTGAACAGGTTTTAACATTTCTTCATTGGAGTGACAACATTAGACTAAAGGTATCATCCCGTATCTAGCTGATGTGATTATCAGCCTGAGACCTACCCAATACTGGTTAAAGCAAGATGTATTGAATTACTAAACACTTATCATACCTAGATGCAAATTAAATTCTCCCAAGGGCCTAATTACCAAGAACTTACATATTTAATCTTTTAATACCATAAAGATTGGCTAAAAGGTCAGCTCTCTTGCATTTTTAATATTTCATGAATTGAAATATGCCATAGTATTAGCATGACCTATAAATTTTCCAGTTGATTCCTCTGACCAGAAGGAATTATAAAGAATCTATATATTGCTGTCCCTCAGGATACTCCTGCCTTTGGCCCTTCTTGAAGCAAACCCCACCCCCACCCTGTTTTTCCATCTAGACTTCTCTATCTCCTATATACCTCAGGCCTAAGTGCTCCCCATCTCCCAAATCCTCAACTAGGTGAAATGCCTCTTACCTGTTCCCACAACAGCTTGGATGTACACCTTAACCTTTTCCCTTACCCCACTACCCTGTGGGTCTTGTCTCTTTACCTCTGTCCCAGGTGCCTCCCACGTACCTCCTACATGGGCATGGACTCCAACTGAACTTCATCCTTCCCTTTTCTGCATTCCTTTGCACCTCTTTCTGTTTAAGAAGCTAATGCACACGGGGCAAGTACCTGTAATCCCAGCATTTTGGAGGCTGAGGCAAGGAGGATCATAGTTCAAGGCTAGCCTGGACAACTATAGCAAAGTTGTAGTATAGTTGTATACTACAACTATACTATACAATGTAGTATAGTAAAGTTGTATAGTAAGCCCGTGTCTCAGAAAACCGAAAATAAAATATAAAAGCAAACACACACATTCATGCAGTGTTCACACATACCTGGGAATTTGCCAGACATTAGGTCACACACACACAAACTCCAAAACCTAGGGGCCCGTGACTTCCAGTGGTTTTCACTGTCACCATTCTCTAGACTAAAGCCACAAACAGGAAGAGCTCTCCCTCTGCACTCTCTTCCCCACTATGAACTGGGTCTCCACTTCATAATCCAAGTACAGAGAGCTTCCCCATTGTTTTGAAGGCCGCCTGTTTACTTAGGCCTCAGTTAAAAGGACTATAAAAGACTTTTTAATGCTGCTGTGCCTTACGCCAACTGGGGCTTTGAGAAATCTTTCAGATCACATTTTAGTGAACACGTCAGGCAACCTAACATGCTTTGCAGCCAAAACTTGCATCACAACTTTGGCTTGGGTCCTGAGGTGCCCAGGGCCTCTTAAGTAAATAGGAAGCTGGCTTGGTGCCTCATCAGGGAAATTCGCATTCCAGTCTCCAGAGGTCCACAGCCCTGCAGCCCTGAGCTGTCTCTCCAGGAGTTGGTTTGACAAGGCAACCCATTAACAGGGTGCAGAGTAATTACATCAAATAAAATGAAGATTTACTATTCTTAGCTAAAGTTCTATTTCATAAAATCCGATTGTTATCCCACACACTTGTTTTTGAGAATTGAAGAATGCGCAAGTGACTAGGAGCCACCAAACAACCCCAGGGTAAGATTTCACTTGCAAAAAGTTGTGCTGCACTGAAACTGGGGTTGGTCACGTGAGGCTGTGCAGAGGAGGAATGTGACTCTGAAATCTCTAAAACTGCTCTAACTTTAGCTACCAAATGGCAGACATGTCACCCTCTTTAGTCTTTTGTTCTACCTACCTGAATTCTAGCAGCAGAAATAGGTATTTGAAACTACTTTTGGAACATTCTGATAGGAGGAATGGATCATAGATCCTCATTTTAAAGGGACTGTAAGCAAATTAAATCAGAGAGAGAAAATTTATGACAGGGTACTTTTTTTTAACTTTCAGAAATATTGGTTTAAATTCCATAAAGGAAAGAACTTTGGTTAAGTTTAAAGTATAATTTAGCTCTGTTAAGCTGAACACGCCTGTTAGCAAAAGCACTTGGAGCTAAGCTGATGAGTGGCTGGGAGGATGGTCAGCCTTCCTACACAACAGGTGGGGCCATGGCAGCCGAGGCTCTGGGATCTGGAGCTGGTGTGAATCCTGCTTCTCCCCTTTATAAGCTGGGTGACAATGGACACAGTGTTTAGCCCTCTGTGCCTCAGTTGTCTCACTGACAGAGCGTGAAGAGTAAGAGTGTCTTCCTCACAGGTCCATTTTGAGGACTCAAAGAGTTAGTAAGTGTATCACAATTGGAAAAGCACTCTGCAGGTAGTAACTGTTGCCTATTATAACTGTTGTTAAAACCCTTACTGCACCTTTCCAAAGAGTTCTGGGAACAGAAAGGACTTTTAAGTCAATTGTCTAATTGTCTGGGAAAGGAATGAACACTAGGAAATCAATACCTAAAGACGTTAAATGATGACATGTCTGAGATTCAGCTAGCTAGCTAGTGCCAAAACGAATACGAGACTCTTCCACTCTTGCTTTTATCCCAGGGTTGCATGGTTGATGGCACGCTGCACTGTGTCCCTTATTAACACTG